CCCCTCAGCCCCCCCCCCCCCCAGCCACGGCGCTGCCCCCCCCCATCCCCTCCCTTTCTTTTTACCTTGTGATTCTGGTAAGAGGTCACGGCGATAAAAGCCGTCTCCGGAAAGACGTGAGTGCAGAAGGCCGTGTTTTTGGAGCCGAAGCCGTTGTTCTCGTCCGCCTTGACGATATGGAGCCGCGGCTGGTATTTGTGCATAGAGTTGAGGATGATCTGGAAGAGAAGGCGACGGGCAGGCGTCAGACTGAGACGGGAAGCCGCCGCCGAAGACCCCCGGGATCGGCTCGGAAAGGCGGTGCGTGTGCGCACAGGCTTATTCCTATATTTATTTAACTAAAAGCTGCTCCCCCCGTAGCGATGTAAGGAATTGTATGTATGGGAGCCAGCCTGGTGCGGTGGTGAAGAGCGTTGGACTCTAATCTGGAGAAGCGGGTTGGATTGCCCTCTCCTCTTTCACATGCAGCCTGCTGGGGGACCTCGGGTCAGTCACAACTCTCTCAGAGCTCCCTCAGCCCCACCTACCTCACAGGGTGTCTGTTGTGGGGGGGGTGAGGGAATAGGATTGTAAGACGCTTTGAGACTCCTTAAGGTAGACAAAAGCGGGGTATCAAAACCAAGTCTTTTTCTTCACTATACAGTAGCAGTTACAGTACTTCACTAAGAGAGAGCCGAGTTCAAATTTTAGCATCCCCTGAGTGACCTGGGACCATCAGCCTAACCTACCTCATAGGGCTGTTGAGATGATCAAACAGCAGATGAGAGAGGTATGGAAGCAGTTGTCTGCTCGGAAGTAAATGTCATTTTATTCAACGGGACTTACTTCGAGGAAAGTTTTCTCAGGGGTGCGGCCCACATCTTCCTCCCCGAGAATTTTATTTTTTAAAAAGTAGATGTCATTCCCATTGAATTCAATAGGGGCTTAATCTCAAAAAGCTCCTAGCTTTATTTGGGGTTAAACCACACTGAACTCTGCCATACTTCACTGCACACCATACACACCTATTTCAATGCTCCCTTACACAACACAAAAATAAAATTCTTTGCACGTTGGAAAACAGTCTGTATAGAAGAACCTCTCTTCCTGATCTCGCCGTTTTCTACGTGATTTTTTTGTTGTTTTTTGGTGTGGGACATTTCAGTCATGCAGTGCCATACACTCCTGAGGGCACCCCATAGTACAGGAAATGTTTTATACACTGCACGTGCAAACGGATCGTCCCTTTGATTTAGATGGCGCTTTGAAGGGCACTTCGGAATTGTGCAACATTTCCTTTAAAACCTACTTCTATCCTTTCTGTAGTAGGACTGCACATTGTTGGGATTCTTTTGAGTAAGTCAGCAGAGGATTAAGAGACTGAGTCCATGGTGTGATTAAAATATAAAAGTTTACTATAAACCTAACATGGGAAAAAGGTATAAAATAACAAAGCTAATATGGCTACATCCTTGCAGCTAGAAGGTAAAACAGGAAGAGTTGGCGTCTCCTTTTCTAGTCAGAACAAAGAACAGGAAGAGAAACCATAAAATGGTAATATACCTTGACACTTTAGTCCCAATCAAATCCCTAGATCAGGGAGAAAATTCCCGGGCTTCCTACATCTAAAGAACATTGGTTACATGAGAAACATGTGACTTAACAAACATCATTAACCCTGTAAATACTGAAGTGTTTTCAACTTGTAATACCCAACACACATGCACAATTTATGACACCCCCTCCCCCCCAGCTAAACTCCGCCCAGGAGTGACGTTATTTCTGCGATGGGTCTCGCCCATCATTATGCCTTGGCACCCAAGGCGGCATTCACAGTGCTCCCAGGTGGGTCTTCTCTCCCATCCAGTTGCTGGCAGGACAGAGATCTGCTTGGCTTAAGCCAGGCTGCAGCATCCGGTGCCTTCAGATTTCCTGCTCTTGTGATTTCGAAAGAGCTCTTAAAACAAAACACTCGCTCATAAATTAAATTATTATTAACAGTAAAGGATTACTAATGGTACAGGATTCTGCACCATCAATGCGCTTAGCTCTTAACAGAGCTCCCTCCCCGAAGGAGTACAAAAGAGCAAGAGTCCAGTAGCACCTTAGAGACTAACAAAATTTGTGGCCGGGTAGGAGCTTTCCTGAGTCCCTGGCTCACTTCTTCAGATAGGAAAGCGCCTACCATTTATGGGTGGCTCAAGTGGTTAAGACGCTGAACTGCAGGCTGTGGAAGGTCAGTAGTTCAGCAGTTCGAGACCCGGGTGCCGCATGATGGAGTGAGCTCCCATCTCTAGTTCCAGCTCCTGCCAACCTAGCAGTTTGAAAGCAAGAAATTGCAAGTAGACAAATAGGTACCACTTCGGTGGTGCGCCTCGGTGTTTAGTCATGCCGGCCACATGACCACAGAAACGTCTTCGGATAGCGCTGGCCCTTCGGCTTGGAAACGGAGATGAGCACCGCAACCCTAGAGTCGGATTCGACTGGCTTTCGAGCAAGAGAACCTTTACCTTTACCTAGTCTTACACTGAGCTATTGCCAGCTGCTAGATAGACCCCTGCATAAAACCTCAGTGCCACATAGTCCTTGATTTTGCTTGCCTTGCAATTCAACTAATGACGCCAGGATACACGGTCGCCAACCTCCAGGTGGTACCTGGTGTTCTCCCGCTATGACAGGTAATCTCCAGACTACAGGAATCAGCTCCTTTGGAGAAAATGACTGCTTTTGAGGGCGGATTCTGTGGCATTGTACCCTACTGAGGTCCCTCCCCTCCCCAGACCCTGCCATCCTCAGGCTCCAAACCCCCCCCCCCATCTCCACGTATTTCCCAACCCAGAGCTGGCAACCCTGCCAGGATGCGGCTTTCGATCTCCAGTCCCACCAACAAACACACCCAATCAGCTCCCTAAGACATTGGTGGGCATTAACAGGTTAAAAATATATACACGACCAGATCTACATTAGATGTCAGGAAGTCTCCAGGGAGACCCTCACTCACACATCCACACATCCACGCACTCTATATTTATTATAGATTGAGGCGAGGAGAGGAGAGAGGCCATTCTGCAAGCAGTTGTGGCCGTTTTGACAAGCGAGGATGCAGGGCGGTGGCTGCCAGGGAAAGTCCGCTGTGTATGGACAGGGGTACTATTAATTAAGTGACCAGGCTGAGGCCAACATCCCAGTAGGGCAGACCTAGTTACAAATCCACAGTCATCCATGAAGCTCACTTTTAACTCAGTCACTCTCAGCTTTCCTGCTCTGCCTCACAAGTTTGATGTGATGAGGATCAATGGGAGAACCAAGGGCAAATGGGATTGTCCACAACTTCGAGCAAGGGAACATTTACCTTTACCCTATATCTTTTTAAAGACAGTATTGCCTCTTCCCACCACCACTGAACTTTAGCCAGGCCTTGCATATGTCAAGCGAGGGGAAGGACTTCCGTCTTTGCCTTCTCACTCTATCCTCAGCAGGCCACGGGGGGGGGGGGGGGGGGGGATGGCCTGTCCCCTTTAAGAGAAGCTTAATGGGTGGGAATGGGCGGCTGAAGCTTTTCCTGGCTTGAAGGTAACTGGCCCCGTCTGATAAACAACCCCAACATACAGCCCATTAGAGTTTAAGGAACCGAGCACCTGACCTGGATAGGCGAGACTAGCCCGATCTCAGAAGCTAAGCAGGGCGGGTCATGACTAGTATTTGGACGGGAGACCTCCAGGGAATCCCAGGGTGGGGAGGCAGAATCTCTCTTGCCTTGAAAACCTTACCGGTTGCCATGAGGCAGCTTGACTTAACCTTACTTTCCACCTCCAAAGGAACAGGAGTTTTTTCTCCAGAGTGGTGGCAACCCTACCTGATCCTGATTTTCTGGAGGAAGGTGAAATTTTAAAAAAATAGTCTGTTAAAGAGAACAAAGTTTAAGTCTAGGTGCACCTTTAAAGACCCACTAAGTTTAATTCTGGGTAGAAGCTTTCTGTGCGTGCACACTTCTTCAGATAACACTCTTGAAGAATCTCAAAGTTGAATTCTGGGTACAAGCTTTCTGCATGCACACTTCATCAGATACAGACAGTATATGTTGAAGTGTGCATGTACCCGAACGCTTATACCCAGAATTAACCTTTGTGGGTCCTAATGGTGCCACTGGACTCGAACTTTGTTCTGTTGCTTCAGACCAACACGATTACGCACCTGAATCTTTGTGTTTAATGCATTTCGCTCAGGGTGGCTCACGGAAGCAAAAACCACCTGACTGTGATGAGCTCTTATTAGCAGTAATAGCAGTCACTAATGATGATGATTTTAATTGCGAGACGTCTGGTTCCCGTATCCCGCTACCGTAGCCCAAATTAAACTCTGGACAGAGACCGCGCGTTGAAACGCATGGCTGGCCTGGGTCGCCTGACCCCGCTTCGTTTCCCCTTCGCCCCCCCGACCTCTCCATTGTGCTGTGAAAGAGATGCCCCGAGCGGGTGCCCGAGGACCGTCGCGAAGAGCGCGCCGGAATTCCGCAGCCCGCTTCGGAACCGAGACGCTCCCAGTCCTTCTGGCAGACCTCCGGCGCTCCCTGGAGCTTAATCCCACGGGGCCAGGGGAAGCGCCCCCTCGCCTATTCTCCCCTGACAATGAGCGCCGTCGAACCTGGCGACAAGGAGACGCAAGCCGCCCCGCCGGGCCTGCGCCAGGGGGGCCCCGGGAAGTCCGCTCGGCTCGCAAAGCCCCTCTCATCCCGAGGGTTTAGCCAAATTGCTCTGACATCCTGCGGGGCCGCAGACATCACCGGGGAACGATCTAATGGCTTTTAATTTCATTACAGCGTCTCTCGGGGAGAGGCGACCTGCGCGCCCCCTCGGCCATCGCCAGGCGTCCCTGGTGCCTCGGCTCTGTCGGCAGAGTCCAGAAGCCAGTGGGAGCGCAGCCGGCCTCAGGCTCCGGAGGGCATCTCCCAGCGCCCCTGCCCTCTGCCACCACCCCCTATAGCCTCTGCATTCCTCCCTCCCCCCTCAACAGAGAAAGGGTGCAAAACACACACACCCCTGTGCACCTACTGTGTATTTCCCAAGGGTCCTCGTTTACCTGGAACTGTCCAGGTTTTCTGATTCACCAGGTGTCCCTGTATAGCCTGATGGAGTACCTAAAGTGTTCGGACTCAGATCTGGGAGAGCCTACTCTGCAGTCAAACTGGCTGAGTGGCCAGTCACACTGTCCCCATCTAACTTACTTCACAGGGCTGTTG